ATAGACTACAATATATACAAGACTATAGTCTAAGCTATAGACTACAATATAGACTAGACTATAGTCTATGCTATAGACCAGACAATAAACTAGGCGATTGATGTACTTTAAGGGCGGGTATATTTTTGGTCCTAATTTTTATAGAAAATACTTTTGAAATCAAATGTGAAAATAATAAATTTAAATTTACCTTTTTGGCAACTGGTTTCTTCGGCTTTCTGTTCATTTCATTTTCTTTTAACATTCATAATTTCCCATTAAAAACTTTTTATTTTTAATTAAAAACAGACCATAGGTATAATGAGCTTTCTAAAATTTTCTTATTTTATTATTATTGCTAAAAGGATAACAAAAAACTTTCACACACACTCACACTTTTAAACACTTTTGGTTTATTTCATTAAAAAAAAAGGCCATAGTTGGAGCTTTTACTTTATACAACATTTACATATTTACTTTGTATTTTCATTTTTGCTCTCTTTTGATTTACTTTTATTTCTTTACTCACACCTTCTTCTGCGTAATGCATTAACACAAACTTTCTTAGCGACTATTTTGCTAGAAACACAACACTTTTTAATAGAAAACCGAATAAAGAGAATTTGCAAAACTGCAACAATGGATACACATTTTTTCCTTCACGACTGCGCTGCCGGCAGCACATACATATTTTCTTAACAACGCTATTCATTAACAAAACTTAACATTTTCTTAAAGAACTTTTTATGCACTATATTTTTATTCACTTTTTACAATAATTTAAGAACTTTTTCTATTATTCATTAATATTTTTATTACGACACTACCGGAAGACAAACGCATTGGTAAGACATCACACTATGAACTGATTAACAAAACGTGACACGGAAAGGAAGTAGGAGTGGGAGTAACGCAAAAAACAAAAAGAGACAGATTGTATGCGCAAAAAAGCTTAGCAACATTTGTGTTTAACTGTCTAGAAAGAGTGAACGGAGTTATTAGAAAAATTGCAATAAACAGTGCGCATGTTCAAAATTAAGGTGTGATTATGTATATAGAATGGAAAAAGAAGGAAATGCAGTAGTATTAGATGAAATAAAACTTTATTACTTAAGTATGTTGATGTAAGAACAACAATAAATGCCAGGAACTAACTAACTAACTAACTAACTAACTAACTACTAACTAACTAACTACTAACTAACTAACTAACTAACTAATAACTAACTAACTAACTAACTAACTAACAAACTAACTAACTAACTAACTAACTAACTAACTAACTAACTAACTAACTAACTAACTAACTAACTAACTAACTAACTAACTAACTAACTAACTACTAACTAACTAACTAACTAACTAACTAACTAACTAACTACTAACGAACTAACTAACTAACTAACTAACTAACTAACTAACTAACTAACTAACTAACTAACTAACTAACTAACTAACTACTAACTAACTAACTAACTAACTAACTAACTAACTAACTAACTAACTAACTAACTAACTAACTAACTAACTAACTAACTAACTAACTAACTAACTAACTACTAACTAACTAACTACAACTAACTAACTAACTAACTAACTAACTAACTAACTAACTAATAACTAAACTAACTAACTAACTAACTAACTAACTAACTAACTAACTAACTAACTATAACTAACTAACTAACTAACTAACTAACTAACTAACGAACTAACTAACTAACTAACTAACGAACTAACGAACTAACTAACTAACTAACTAACTAACTAACTAACTAACTAACTAACTAACTAACTAACAAACAAACAAACAAACTAACTAACTAACTAACTTACTAACTTACTAACTAATTAACTAACTAACTAAAAAAAATATCAAAAACTACAGAACCTTTCATATTTTGATCTTTATACCAGTAATATCCTTTAAAAACACTAAAGTAAGATCGAAATGACGCGTGGAATGTAACTTGCAGCTTACAAAACTCGAAAAGTATAAAAAGCATTACCGGCCCATGGCGTTCGTACTTTCACCTTTAATATTAACTTAATTTTTATTTTCATATTCTTCTCGGTTTTCGTTTTCATCTATACTGGATATCTATTTTAAACTCTCCTTTTACACTTTACACTCTTAACTACCTTGTTTTCCCATTACTGTATGAGAAATGCAACTCTGTAATAGTACGCAAATTGGCGGTGTTGCCATTAATATATATAAATACACATGCTCATACATATGTATGTATCGACATTTAACAATGCAAAACATAAGGAAGATCATTGCAAAATTTTAAAAATTTAAATATACATAAAATTAGCTCCTTTTGCGAAATTTATAAATACGGATTGGTGAGGAACTACTTTCACTAGTTTTTTTTTTATTAATTTACTTATAAAATTGTCTTTTTTCAGCATAAAAAACAAATGAGTAATGGACCCAGATAAACAACAATAAGTACATGCAAAACAAACAACAGAATCTACACAATACGCCTTTGACTCTGACAAGGAGGAACAAGTGCACAACAAAGATACACATTACTGGCAAACACCAAACTCATTCAAGACAAGGAAATCTATATTAGCAGCCCTTAGTTCTAAGATCTTCTAATCTTTACTCAAGAAGAACACCAGCTCCTTATACATACATGCATATGTACATATGTATGCACATATAAAAGAAGGTTAATATAATATAAGAAAATTGTTATAAAAAGTGAACAGAAATGAGTATAAAAAGTTTTTTAAGAAAATGTTTAATTTTGTTAATAAATCGAGATAATTAATAGAAATTTTGTTAAAAAAGATGTTAAGAAAAAATGTGCCGTCGACAGCGCAGTCGTGAAGAAAAAATATGTATCCATCATTCTTATAGTTTCGAAAATTCTTGTTAGGAATTTTTATTTTTTAATTTAAAAAATGTTTTTGTTAAAAAAAAATTAAAAATAATAAATACAAATAAAAAATTGTTAAAAGTATTTAAATTCAAATTGTTGATGTTAAAAAAGGAAAATGATCACGTCCATGGCTTAATTGAGTAGTAAAAACTTGATATGGATTTGGCGTTTTTTTTTCTGCATTTCAACTAATTTGTTTTTTAAATGTTTTTCTAAAAAAGTTGTGGCAACACTCTCGTCTGCAGGAGGTTGAAGTTATAAACATTAAAGTGCTGCCAAGTTTTATGTAGTAAAGTAGAGACACAAACCAAAATACATAATTTTATGTAGATAACTAGCTATGACACAAAAAACTTGACAAGTAAAGATTAGTGGACGGTATTTGCTTATTCACCACGATTTCAATATTTATCAAACATTTAAAATTTGAACAAGATTTGAAAAAATCTGCCGACCTTTATGCAGCGACTGAAAATCTTTTTTTTTATCAGATTTTGGTTAGTTAGTAAGTAAGTAAGTTAGTTAGTAGTTAGTTAGTTAGTTAGTTAGTTAGTTAGTTAGTTAGTTAGTAGTTAGTTAGTTAGTAGTTAGTTAGTTAGTTAGTAGTTAGTTAGTAGTTAGTTAGTTAGTTAGTTAGTTAGTTAGTAGTAGTTAGTTAGTTAGTTAGTTAGTTAGTTAGTTAGTTAGTTAGTTAGTTAGTTAGTTAGTTAGTTAGTTAGTTAGTTAGTTAGTAGTAGTTAGTTAGTTATAGTTAGTTAGTTAGTTAGTTAGTTAGTTAGTTAGTTAGTTAGTAGTTAGTTAGTAGTTAGTTAGTTAGTTAGTTAGTTAGTTAGTTAGTTAGTTAGTTAGTTAGTTAGTTAGTTAGTTAGTCGTTAGTTAGTTAGTAGTTAGTTAGTTAGTTAGTTAGTTAGTTAGTTAGTAGTTAGTTAGTTAGTTAGTTAGTTAGTTAGTTAGTTAGTTAGTTAGTTAGTTAGTAGTTGTAGTTAGTTAGTTAGTTAGTTAGTTAGTTAGTTAGTAGTTAGTTAGTTAGTTAGTTAGTTAGTTAGTTAGTTAGTAGTTAGTTAGTTAGTTAGTTAGTTAGTTAGTTAGTAGTTAGTTAGTTAGTTAGTTAGTAGTTAGTTAGTTAGTTAGTAGTTAGTTAGTTAGTTAGTTAGTTAGTTAGTTAGTTAGTTAGTTAGTTAGTTAGTTAGTTAGTTAGTTAGTTAGTTAGTAGTTAGTTAGTTAGTTAGTTAGTTAGTTAGTTAGTTAGTTAGTAGTTAGTTAGTAGTTAGTTAGTTAGTTAGTTAGTTAGTTAGTTAGTTAGTTAGTTAGTTAGTTAGTTAGTTAGTTAGTTAGTTAGTTAGTAGTTAGTTAGTTAGTTAGTTAGTAGTTAGTTAGTTAGTTAGTTAGTTAGTTAGTTAGTTAGTTAGTTAGTTAGTTAGTTAGTTAGTAGTTAGTTAGTTAGTTAGTTAGTTAGTTAGTAGTTAGTTAGTTAGTTAGTTAGTTAGTTAGTTAGTTAGTTAGTTAGTTAGTTAGTTAGTTAGTTAGTTAGTTAGTTAGTTAGTTAGTTAGTTAGTTAGTTAGTTAGTTAGTTAGTTAGTTAGTTAGTTAGTTAGTTAGTTAGTAGTTAGTTAGTTAGTAGTAGTTAGTTAGTTAGTTAGTTAGTTAGTTAGTTAGTTAGTTAGTAGTTAGTTAGTTAGTTAGTTAGTTAGTTAGTTAGTTAGTTAGTTAGTTAGTTAGTTAGTTAGTTAGTTAGTTAGTTAGTTAGTTAGTTAGTTAGTTAGTTAGTTAGTTAGTTAGTTTAGTTAGTTAGTTAGTAGTTAGTTAGTTAGTTAGTTAGTTAGTTAGTTAGTTAGTTAGTTAGTTAGTTAGTTAGTTAGTTAGTTAGTTAGTTAGTTAGTTAGTTAGTTAGTTAGTTAGTTAGTTAGTTAGTAGTTAGTTAGTTAGTTAGTTAGTTAGTTAGTTAGTTAGTTAGTTAGTTAGTTAGTTAGTTAGTTAGTTAGTTAGTTAGTTAGTTATTCAATTTATATTGATTTATTCAATGTTGATTTACAGCGATTTTTTGTATATTCCAACATTGACAACACTAAAAAGATACTACTTTTACACTCTCCATTTTGCGCTGTCATTCTCATTGAAATCATCTGCTTGTCAAAAGGCAGATGAAAAAAAAACTAGTCAGATTTTTTTTAGAATAATTTTCACACAAGAAAATTATGTTTGTAATTTTCAAGCGAAATTAAGCAAGAGACAATTATTGGAAAAAGTATAATTATTAATAAAAATAATGCAGTTTAATAATTCCAAAAGATACAATAACTAAAAGGTATTTACAATCTAAAGAACAACAAAAATCTAACAGGCCTAAAAATGTCAAGTGTTAAAAGAAATATTGGTTGAAAAAAGTTGAGCAATCCTGACTAGTTTTTCTTTACTTTTTTATGGTGCCAACTGACGACGCAAGTTGGTTGGTTGGCCAATCTTGTGGGTAGAAAGAGTTTGAAGAAAAATAATATTGCGAAAGTATAATTGTGTTTTAATAAAAGTAATTATTTGAAAAAAAGTAATAAGAGGTTATTATACAAAGTTTAATTACTTGTTTTTTCTAATTGGAAATAAATTATTTTGTCATGGCAGAGAAATAACAACAAGAAAGAAAAGAATAAATAGAAGTTGAGAAAAAAATAAGAACACACCTTTACGGTATGTTGGTTAAGTTTGTTGTTATTGGTAGAAGTTGTTGTTGTTCGGCAAAGAATAAATAAGAAATGAAACTGTTGTCAAAAGTACCTAAGTCTACTGTCATCCGGTACCTAACTCTAAGAATGTATTAGTAGAATTCTCAAGTCAACATAGTTGCAAAAAATAGTATTGAAAAATATTGAAAAAAAATTATTACATTTCAATTTATACTTTGAAAGGTTTCTTAAGATATTTTGCACATATTTTATCTATAAACATTTTATAAACACGTCTATTTGTTTATTATTCTATAATATTGAAAAAATAAATTATTTATTTGAAATATCTTTTTCGTTTACCATACGAAAATTTACAACATTGTTTTTTTTAGTTTTAATTTCAACCAACAAAAATTCAATGTCAAAAAATAAAAAATATTTTTTTTCGTTTGTAAAAAATTTATTATTTTCGGGCTATTAAATGTGTTTAAATTGTGCAAAAAAAATATAAAATATAATGTTAAGTGATAAAAAATATTTCAAAGTGCTATTATCCTCAAATTTTCGCGAAAAAGTTTTGAAGTTTGGAGAGAGAATAAAATTTTTACATATGTGTTGGATTTACACAGTACTCGTCTGTGAGAAGAGCGTAATGTTATTGTTGTAAAAAAATGACAGCGTTTCACTTCTTGTTTATTCTTTGTTGTTCGGTTTTTTATTATTGCTGTTGTTGTTGTTTACCCGTATAGTGGTGGATTTTAAATCAAAACATTGAAAAAAGAGAAGTTTAACAAAAACCACTCTCACTCACTTGTGCTGAGCTCTGCTCATTTTTGTTTTTTCTTGTCTTCGTTTGTCTAATATTTTCTAAAAACTTTTTGTAAATTGTTTAAAAATGTTTATTTAACTTATTTTGAGTAGAATTAAAAGAATACGGAAGTTTTGTATTTCAAAACAACAAAAAAAATTGTGTTTAATGTGTTTCTAACTCGCAAACTACAAAAAAAAAAAAAAATACTTCAAAGTGTCATGGAGTTGTAGCAATAAGTTGTGTTTCTTTTTAACAATTATAAATAGTTTAATTATTGTTAATGTGTTAATTATAGTAAACATCATAAAAAACACAAAAGGAAGCTAAAAACTACAAAAATAACTTGAAAAGTAACAACTTTAGCAAGGAAACATGGCAGATACTGCGGAAAGTGAAGTAGTGGATTCTTCCAACAATGAAATATCTATAAACAACCAACAAAATTCAACGGATACGGCACAACCTCCCAGAGAACAGGCTGCCGCCTCTACTTCACAACAATCAACCGGCTCAAATGCAGCACCTCCCGCAGCTGCTCCTTTACAACCGCAACAGCCAGCTGAGCCGTCTTTACCACCACGACAGCCGGCTGCTGTTCAAATCGATGTTAATCAAATGGCCAATGTTATCAGTGTCAGTTATTTGGCTGCCAATGGTATAAATAATCAACGTAATCGTGGTCCTGGTGTAGCCGGTGTTAATATTGGTGTTGGAGCTCCGGGTCAGGTAAATTTTTGTTAGTATTCATTGCGAGAGTTTTTGTATTTAATTGGACTTTTTTAATTTTGTTTTCAGAACAACATTATGAATATGCGTAATCGTCTGTTTCATGCCATTTACTTTAAAGTTGCCTTAATTTATGCCCAAATGTTTCCCAAGTGAGTAAAGAGTGTTTTATGGTAAATATGACTTAAGTTTACGACTCTGTAGAAAGACTATATGCCTAAAGGTTCCAATAAATCAACAATCTATTTATAAAATATCGAATTCTGATAGGCATGCTAACGGGGCACTGCTCAGTTAGGGCCTTTGTCAGTAAGTGGGACAGCAATACACCGGATTATTGTAGGTTATGCGAGGATGAGGAGGAATTGGAGTCGATCGAGCATATAATTTGCCACTTTCCTAGGATACAGAGTCTTAGGCTTAGGATATTGCGGGTCTTGCCCTCGCAGTTTACTAGGTTTTGTCAAGGGCATTAGTCACTTCTTCGACTGGGCTTTATAGGGGGGACGAAGATTTTCTCTGTTATCTCTTTATTCTTTGGGATACTGACTTACCTTCTTCTCTGCTTTTACTTGTAGTATGTTTTGTTTCTCTGATTTTGAATCATCACTCCTTGAAGGGAATCACAATGGACCTTAAGGTCTGCGAGTGGATAGGCACCGTTTTTATGGTGTATAACGCTTCTTAACCTAAACCTATAATGTGTAATTCAAAAGCGATGACACTGATGATGGACCCAATAGTGTCCCCAAACAAATACCTGTCTTCCTACTAGATGATTTAGGGAAAGTTACAGCTATTTAAAACGGAGTAAAACTTTTCGATTTTTCAAACTTTGGATTTTTCAATAAAAATTCGAAATTTTTTATTTAAAATTTAATTTTTTTCAAAAAAATCAATTTTTCACTAAAAAAACTAAATTTTCATTAAAAATTTAAATTTTCACTAAAAATCCAAATTTTCATTAAAAATCCAATTTTTCACAAAAATGTCGGTTTTAACTAGAAGTTTGATTTTTACCTGGAAATCCTTATATTCCCCAAAAAGTAAACAAATTTTTCGAACCCGAACAAAATAATTGTTTCGATATAGGGACTAGACTATAATAAATACAGACAGAGTTGTCCCAAAAGGGAAAAGTTGAAGGGACTTAGAAAGTTTTAATTCATCTATATTTTACTTGTTTTTATATTAACGTGTTATTTTCTCTTTTGCAGACCTTTCCAACGTACTTTGGAGTATTTTTTCTTAATTAAGGCCTTGCTGTTCTTTTCGGCTTTAGTTTATATACACATGTCATTTATTAAAAATCCAGCTACATGTTTGGAACATGTACAAGATTGGCCACGAGATGGTGTTTTAAGGTAATTAGGAACATCTTGAATCACTATTCCACAGACTAGTTTTCAGACTAGTGTAATGACTAGTTCCCAGACTAGTGTATTGACTAGTCCACAGACAAGTCTACTGACTAGTCCACAGTCATGACTACTGACTAGTCCACAGACAAGTCTAATGACTAGTCTACAGACATAACTACTGACTAGTCCACAGACAAGTCTAATGACTAGTCCACATAGAAGTCTATTGACTAGTCCACCGAGTAGTCTATTAAAATTTTCTTAAATTTATGTTTTTCCATTACTTTCACAGAGTTGAAGTTATTCCTAATCTTGATAAACGATTGGAAATCTATGAAAAAAATCAAGCACACGAAAATTTTATGCGTAAACTTCAATACGACTAGTAAGTACAGCCACCAAATTACGTCTAATCCAAAAAAAAATAAAAAACAACTTATACAAAATAAAGTTTTGTTTAAACAAAAATTGTTCTCTTTGCATAAGTTCTATTTTCATAGCCTTTTATATTATTCTTTTACGCTGTCACAGCGGCAACCAATTTGAATTCATCATTTTATTTTTTAAAACAAACAAAAATTTACAGTTTCTATGGTATTGGACCGAAAACTAAAAATCAATTGTATCATCATAAATATGCCACAAATGAGACTTATACTTACTATTTGCAACACGAGTCTACTTATGCCGATTACTTAAAATATAAACAATTAAATGCAGAATATAATGAAAATAATGATAATGATGATGGTGAGTTTAAGAATAGTAAATTAATTAAGTTTATAATTAATGCTCTATAATGTTTGTTTGGTTGGTTTGTTTGTAGATGAACAGTATATAGTGGAATATTCTTTGGAATATGGTCATTTACGTTTATCGCCTGCTACACGTAAACGTTTGCAAATTCCAGTGCGTGTAGTGCAATGGATCCTTTAAATAATAAATGTTTTGGTGATAAATTTAGTAAATTTCTATTAAAAGAATTGTTAGGGTAAGTATTTTATTCGGTTTACTTATTCATTTGCTTAGAATGAACTAGAACTGATCTAGAACTGAACTAGAACTAACTAGAACTGAACTAGAACTGAACTAGAACTGAACTGGAAAACTGAACTAGAACTGAGAACTACGAACTGAAAGAGAACTGAACTAGAACTGAACTAGAACAGAACTAGAACTGAAACTAGAACTGAAACTAGAACTGACTAGAACTGAACTAGAACTGAACTAGAACTGAACTAGAACTGAACTAGAACTGAACTAGAACTGAACTAGAACTGAACTAGAACTGAACTAGACAGAACTGAACGAACTAGAACTGAACTAGAACTGAACTAGAACTGAACTAGAACTGAACTAGAACTGAACTAGAACTGAACTAGAACTGAACTAGAAACTGAACTACTAGAACTGAACTAGAACTGAACTAGAACTGAACTAGAACTGAACTAGAACTGAACTAGAACTGAACTAGAACTGAACTAGAACTGAACTAGAACTGAACTAGAACTGAACTAGAACTGAACTAGAACTGAACTAGAACTGAACTAGACTGAACTAGAACTGAACTAGAACTGAACTAGAACTGAACTAGAACTGAACTAGAACTGAACTAGAACTGAACTAGAACTGAACTAGAACTGAACTAGAACTGAACTAGAACTGAACTAGAACTGAACTAGAACTGAACTAGAACTGAACTAGAACTGAACTAGAACTGAACTAGAACTGAACTAGAACTGAACTAGAACTGAACTAGAACTGAACTAGAACTGAACTAGAACTGAACTAGAACTGAACTAGAACTGAACTAGAACTGAACTAGAACTGAACTAGAACTGAACTAGAACTGAAACTAGAACTGAACTAGAACTGAACTAGAACTGAAACTAGAACTAGAACTAGAACTGAACTAGAACTGAACTAGAACTGAACTAGAACTGAACTAGGAACTGAACTAGAACTGAACTAGAACTGAACTAGAACTGAACTAGAACTGAACTAGACTGAACTAGAACTGAACTAGAACTGAACTAGAACTGAACTAGAACTGAACTAGAACTGAACTAGAACTGAACTATAACTGAACTAGAACTGAACTAGAACTGAAACTAGAACTGAACTAGAACTGAACTAGAACTGAACTAGAACTGAACTAGAACTGAACTAGAACTGAACTAGAACTGAACTAGAACTGAACTAGAACTGAACTAGAACTGAACTAGAACTGAACTAGAACTGAACTAGAACTGAACTAGAACTGACTAGAACTGACTAGAACTGAACTAGAACTGAACTAGAACTGAACTAGAACTGACCTAGAACTGAACTAGAACTGAACTAGAACTGAACCAGAACTGAACTAGAACTGAACTAGAACTGAAGCAGAACGATTGTTTCTTACTTTTCACAAAAAGTTAAAATTCTCCAAAAATGCTATTGTCTATTAGGGATATGATTATCTTCTTTTTTTTCTTGTCTTAAGCTTATGTGTTGTAATATTTTTCTAGTTGGTTTTAAATAATTTTTATATTTAAATTCATTTGATGTTTAAATATTATTTATTGTTTAATTTTATTTGTTTCTTTTTTGCAGCTATGATGATTTATTAATGGCCTCAGTACGTGTTATAGCGGAACAAGAAGAAAATAAAGGTTATTTGCGTAATGTTATAACCGGTGAACATTATCGTTTTGTTTCAACCTGGTGGACTGCATGGAGTTCATATCCCACAGCATTTTTTGTAATGTTATTATTTGTAAGTAAAATAAAATGTTTTTTTCGTGTGTTTTTAAGCTAATATTTTTTGGTTTTCTTTTTTACTTTTCAAATAGACCTTTTCAATTTCGATGTTATTAAGATTTTCCCATCATCAAATATTTGTTTTTATAGGTAGGTTATATGTGATAATGTAATAATTTAAATTTTTATTAATTTTAATTGCGATGTGTTTATGAGCTTATTTTTATATAAAATGTATTTCTTTTTTTAATTTAGTGGATCTTTTGCAAATGTTGGAATTTAATGTTACCGCTCGTTTCCCCATAGCTCCTTTGTTAATTGTCATTTTAGCTTTAGTGGGTAAGTGTAAATAATACATTTGTTTTTCTTTACTATAGTCTGTGTTATAATCTAGAAAAAGTATTAGATTATTAGTTGTTAATTATGAATATTTGATTTCATTTACTAAATATTTTGGTTTTATTTTACACCTTTAGGTATGGAAGCTATAATGTCGGAATTTTTCAATGATACAACCACAGCATTTTACATAATATTAATTGTATGGGTGGCCGATCAATATGATGCCATTTGTTGTCATACCAGTATTACGAAACGTCATTGGTTAAGGTAAGTCAAAAAGTTATTAGATTTCTTTGTTTTAATTATTAATTAACTAGTATTTTTTTAAAACTTTTTGAGAATTGTCCTTTTTGTGGAAATTCTGTTAAATATCTTCGATTATAAATGATTTTAACTTAATACTATTTTATTTTAAATTTTTCCAAAAAGTACTTTTTCTACTACTTTACTTTTTGGAGCAAATTTTATTGAATATCTAAAGTTGTCATTTAATTTATCTAAAATAACAGTTTTTTGCATTTTATTTAAAATTTTTCGATTTTTCAAAAAGTACTTTTTTAGTACTATTTAAGAAAAGTACTCTTTTTCAGAAAATGTTATTGAAAATTTTTATTTATACTTCAAAACTATTTTATATAATTTAGCTATTTTTCAAAAAGTACTTTTTTACTAATTAAGAAAAGTACTTTTTTTTTCTACAAAATAGTGTTAATAATCGTTTATTTCGTAAAATTCTAACTAAAAGTATTTTTTTTAATTTTTTTTTCAAAAAGTACTTTTTCTACTGCTTTTTTAATGTGTACATTTTTTGTTGGAAATTATTATTTTGTAAAACTAGTTCATATCTTTTACGATAAATTTTATACTCTTTTTTAATGTTTTCAAACTCTTTAAAAAGTCCTTTTTAGCTACTACATTCAAAAAGTACTATTTTACTACTTTTTAAAATTTTTTTTATAAAAATTATATTAAAAATCGTTTACCTTGGCGAATTTTAAACAAAAACTGAGCTTTTAACTTTTTTCTAAAATAGTACTTTTTCCACTACCTTTTTATTTTCTTAAATTTTACTAAAAAATTGCTTACCATAAGAAAAATTAAGTTATGCCTTATAAGTTTTTATAATATTAATTAAAGTTCATGCTTAATAACTACATTTTTAATATTTCAAAAAGTACTTTTCTACTACTTTTTCAAAAAAAGTTTTATTTTTCTAAAAAAAATACTTCGAAATGGTTTATTTCTTCAAAATCTTTAATAAAAATGATTGTTTTTAATTTTTTCACAAAAAAAGTACTTTTTCTACTACTTTTTTATTTTTGTACCTCTTAACAAACAATTGTTTACAATAAGTTTATTTAACAAAAATTTGGTTATAACTGATAATTTTTCATAATATTAATGAAATTTTAAGCATAAAAATGGCTTTTTTAAACACTTTAAAAAGTACTTTTTTACTACTTTTTCCAAAAAAGTTTTATTTAAAAAAAAATAGTTTGAAAAATAGTTTGAATTGAATTTCTTCAAAATCATTAATAAAAATGATTTTTTTAATTTTTTCATAAAAAGTGCTTTTTCTACTACTTTTTTATTTTTGTACCTTTTAATAAACAATAATTGTTTACAATAAGTATATATAGTATATAAATAAGTCCTTTTTCTACTACTTTTTTAAAAAGTAATAGTACTTTTTTACTACTTTTTCCAAAAAAGTTTTATTTTTCTAAAAAACTTAGTTCGAATTGTGTATTTCTTCAAAATTATTAATTAAAATATTTTTTTTTTAATTTTTTTTATAAAAAAGTACCTTTTCTCCTACTTTGTTACTACTTTTTCAAAAAAAGTTTTATTTTTCCAAAAAAAATTTATTCGAAATTGTATATTTCAAGAAACTCTGATATAAAAAAGATTTTTCACATTTTTTTTTAAAAAAGTACTTTTTTATTACTTTTTATTCAAAAAGTACATTTTAATACTAATTTTTTGTAAAATCAGTTTATTTAAGAAAAATTGGGCAATACAACATCATTTTTATTATATCAATAAAATTTTAAGCTTAAAAATTAATTTTTCAACATTTCAAAAAGTACTTTTTTTTTAATACTTTTTCAAAAAAAAAAACGTTTTGTTTTTAAGAAATTTAGTTAGAAATTGTTTATATCTTCAAAAAACAAATTTTTCAATGTTTCCAAAAAGTATTTTTTCTACTACCTTTTTTCAAAAAGCTGTTTTTTACTACTTTTTTTAAAAGAAAAATATTGTTTAAAAAAATTTGTTAAAAGTTATTTATTTCTAAAGATTTAGAGAGAAAATTTTTAGCATAAAATTAATATTTTTTCTTCAAATAGTACTTTTTTCATACTTTTTTTTAATACTAATATTTTCACATATTTGGTTGTAAATCCATCCATAAATGATTTTGTAATTATTTTTTCAAAAAGTACTTTTTCTTTTACAAAATAGTACTTTTTTACTATTTCTTTAAAATAGTTTTATTTTGTAAGAAATTTAGTTGCAAATTGTTAATTTTTCAAAATTTGTTTATAAAAATATTTTTTTTTTTCAAAAAATACTTTTTCTACTACTTTTTTCCAAAAAGTACTTTTTCTGCTACTTTTTTAAAAAAGTACATTTTAAAGCAAAACTTTGGGTTTAATAAGTTTATTTAAGAAAAAATTTGAGGATTTTGTTAAATTTAGCCAAAAAGTACTTTTAACTTCTAATAATAAAAAGTATTTTTAGCCACAACGTTTTACACTGTAACTGTAAAATGCAATTAGATGCTTTTAGATTGTGACATTTACAAGAAAATTAGTACTTTTTTAGTACAAAAAATCAGACAAACATCATTGTAAATGTTTTATCAAACATTTAAGCTTTTCAATAGAACTTTTTGTTGACATTATTTTTAGTTTATTTAATAATTCTACGAACATTTTATTATAAATTTTTAAAATTTATATTAGTTTTATATTAATTCATTTAAACGTTTCTTATGGACGTTAAACATTAATATTTCACAGAAATACAATTCAAATTTTATTGTCATGTTTTTACATTTTTAATTAAAATAATTTTAAACTAATTTGCATTTTAAACCAGAATAAACAACCTTTGTAAGACGAAAAAAAAGAAACAACTCAATATATTTAAAATAATTAATTAAAAACCATTTAATTTAGTTTATCAAAAGAGAAAGGACAACAAATAGAACGTTTTGGCAAGTGATGAAACATAAAATGAAACTGTTTAGGCCAAATAGGTTTAATTAATGCCATTTACTAAAATACGTAAATATGTATATATCCCCCTTGTACTTTATTATACCATAAAGGTTTACCGGGGTTAGCAACATACAAACATTGCTATCTATCCCCTGTACTTGTTGTTATGGTTTATAATAAAAATAAACGAGTATTTTAATAATGTTTAATTTATATTATTAACAAAAAAAGACAAAAAAAAAAAAAAATTAAAAACAAAATGTTGCTTCTTCATATTTCCCCAAAAATTATTACCCAAAAAATATGAGTCCAAAAACCACTAATAATTAGGATGTTATTAATTTAATATTCCTCCCTGTTGCCTTACGTTTTTTTGTTATCATTTTCAAGCTAAAACAGAAAAGATTCCACCGGGTATATTTAATATACAATAGCGCTAAAATTAAGAGTATATTGTTATAATAACAATAATTATAACAACAATATGCTGAATATTTAGAAAACAAATCAATTATGTCTAGTAATAAAATTAATATGAAATTATGTTTAAAGATAAAATATGTTTATTTTTAGTATCATATTTGGGTTTAAATTTGTTAAAAAAACGTTGTATTAAATGCATAGTCACGGTCATAATTTCATAATAATTTACTTATTACCATGTCGAAAGTGGAAGGGCTAAAACCAAAGATAGAGCGCTATTCATTTGATTCTTAGAAAAAGAAACTGTAATAACATCAAATTACTTTTCTTAAAAGAGCACAGACAGACCCACCGCCGAGCGGTTCCTATCTTAATAGGACGTTTCTATATACTAGATATAGATCAGTTATAAATAAACACCATATGTTTCCGATCTTACAGCGGAAACAGAAATTGTCGAAATTGATCGCAGATAAGCAGATCATTAGGGCAAAACCCTGGAGTAATCAATATGACTCAGAACTGGTAGATAAAAAAATTCAGAGAATCTATATTCAAAATCCGGAAATCGAGATATAATATAGTTTAGCTTAACACAGCACTAGCTTCCAGACAGAAGGCCGAGTTAACACATGATTTGTAGAATGAATATTTTCCGACAGCCAGAAAACAATTAAAGTGAGATCAGACGATAAGACAAAAACTGAGATTGTATTGGACCGTAAGAAAGCCATAACTGTTGAGTTGAAATGTAAAAATTGGACTATAAGAGAGCCATAACTGTGAATACTCTATGTGTCACTCTGGGTTAGACGGAAAAATATCAAGTATGTCAGACTGGAGGTCGTGGGTTCGATTCCCACCATATATAAAACCGTTTAACTAACCTTACCGATAAAATTAATTTAGAGATTTCATTGTAAGAGAGCCATAACTGTCAGAATGTATAATAAGTCCAGGAAGGTTAGTAATTAGTGTTCAGAGGTCATAAGTTCGATTTCAGACGGAGGCCTAGCTGTATTTATTCTTTCAAACTAACTCAAGTCTACGAAACTGAGTTTCTAAACATTGGACGATAAATTCTTTCATATATGTCTCTCTCTATAAATATATATATATATATATATATATACAATTAAGAGGTTTGACGTTTATAATTGCTTAAGTTTATCGGCTCTTACCGGCTCATCGTAGTAGTTCAGATCTTGTGTATCCTAGAAGCTTACTTTATCCAATACAGTAAGGGCGTTGTTCATATAGAACTCTGTTACATCTGTAACTTTCCTGAAAAACTACTGGAGTACATGATCCAGTTAGGTAATCCCAAACCTACTCCACTGCAAGCATAATTAGAGTATATAATCCGTTCAGTAGTCCTATGTAATGCAGGAATGCACCAGGTTCGTTTTTAAAACAACAGACCCAAAAGGCCAGCCCTACACAGGATCATGTAATCCCACAGTTTTAGCAAATGAGTAGTTTTGGGATAAGTATGATATAATGAATGTGTAGATTACTTGGTCCTCACCTAGTGGCCTCCGGTAGGTTAGTGGTTAGTGTTCTAGTCTGGTAGACCGGAGGTGGTTGGTTCGATTCCCACCTGAGGCACTGGTTAAGGAG